TTGATTTCGGTTAGTTTCTACAAGGGTCCAGCAAGACTCCGTAAACTGTCACCACAACTGTCACAACATTGTCTGCTACAACGGTCCGACATGACCCCATAAACTGTCTTCTACATCGTTATGACACCACCATACAGTGTCCTCTACAACGTTATGACACCCCCATACAGTGTCCTCTCCAACGTTATGACACCACCATTCAGTGTCTTCACCAATGGTCTGACACGACCATACAGTGTCTCCTATCCTTTTTTATTTTTATGTATTTTCTTGTTTTGTTCCTCTCTTCAAACTCAAGTTGGTTCGTTTCTATCCTCCTTGAGTTTGCGGGGGGCTGTTAGAATTTACCATCACCTACCACCAATTTACCATCACCTACCACCACCTACTCCTCACCTACTCCTCACCTAGTACACTCACCCTCTCCTATATAATGAGCCACTCACCATTTGTAATATACAACAACACAATACATCAATCAATAATACATTTCTCTATTTCTTTTTATACATTGCATTTTCTACAAGATACTATGTCTCTCAAGCTAATTTTAGAAAGATAGCCGTTGGCTTCTAAAGTAAATATGCAGCTTTTATTCTCTTGACTGTTTTATGTGACATAGCTAATACAGTAGTTCAAAAAAGAATTAAACATTCTCTTTTATGCAATACCTAAATTTATTACATTAGATGGATCCCCTAGCCTGGTGGTTTATTAACAAATGGATGAGAATTGAACTTGACTGTTAATCAAAAAATGACAGATGATATGTTAAACAGAATTGCATTGGCTTAAAATGCTTATGATATGTTCAAGTGTACCTCTTCTGCATCTTTTAGGTAAAGAGATGCAACAATAACGTGAACATCATTCTGCTCTTCCAAGTCAGCTTCCATGTATGTTTTTAACCATTGTTGAGATGAAATGCTTCCAATTGATGTTAAGAGTTCGGCAGCTGGTCGACAGACCCGGCCCGCGCCAAGAATTAGGACTACAGTTCTCTTTTTTGTATCGCATCTCTTCTCCTTATGAATTCTACCAACCTTTAATGATATTGCATTCAGTTCTTTCCTTTGAAATCCATAATTTTCACTAGGATTGGCAATAGAAGTCAAAGAATCAATAATTTGATCCAGAACTGCACTATCATCTGCACCAACCTGTCCATAACAAAAAGAGCACTAATGATAAGATGTTGGAGGCACCTGGAATTATAATGAAAACCACAATTACACATGATTTGAAGCATCAATAAAAAGAAATATAATAGGGCTCTAAACTTCATTTCAAATCAAAATGAATTGTGTCAAATATGGATGAGATCTGCTTTGAAAGTTTTGAAGTCAAACTATGGTGAGATAAATAACATACAGTCTACTTGGTCAAAGTTATAATCAAACCATACCACAGGATCTATGGTTTTAGCAGTGACTGGTAGATGTTATCTAACAACTTGTTGATTCTATGCATTCCTTTCCAGGTCATGTAAATAGAATGCTGCCAATATTTTCATGTGTTCCTCCAGAATTAAAGCCTCAATTTCATGTTTGATCTGGCTAACTTAAGTTGAATTTTGTAATGAGGCAATAAGGTTGAATATAGAGAGATAATACAGACAGAAAAAAGAAAAGTAAGAACACAAAGGTTTAACGTGGTTCAGCCAATATTGGCTTACATCTACACACGCAAAGCCCTAAAGGGATATATCTTTCATTCACTCAACTTAATACTCTTGTTTACATGATACACCATATATATAGAATGAAAGATATAATCAAATCCCTTCAGTCAAGGAATTGAAATAAACCAAAGATATAAAAAATCATTATAAGAACAAATCATGGGATCTCAATATATTCTGATATCTTCTAATATCTTTGACAATATAATATTATCTGCAACACTCCCCCTTAAGTTGGAACACGGAACAGTTAAAGTGAAGTGTCCAACTTTTGAAAATATAATGATCATTACAAACAACTACAATGAAGTTGCCGAAGGACAACAACAATTGTAATCACTCCCTTTAATGACAACTTCAAAGAACATAGGTGTTAATGTAAATTGTATTAACCTACCACTGTAAATTGTATTAACCTACCACTACCACCTACCACACACACTCACCTCCTCACCTACTCCTCACCTAACCTACCACTACCACCTCCACTTCACCCCCTACCACTTCACCTACTACCTTCTTCTCTTCTATATATATGATCATTGTAAACATAACAAATACATAAATCAATACAATTCAATCAATAATACATCTTTATTAACAATAGGCAAGGAATCAGCATCTTGCAACAAAGAAACGTGCATGGAATCAGTCACAACGGCAGCAAGAGAAATCAACCGAGAGAGAGAAAGCAACAAGGCTGAGACAACGACAAATCACCACAAACAAAAAAACTGCAAAAGCAGCGTCCCACAAAGAATGCTACGGAACGCACCAGTGTTCCAAAAACAAAAAAGAACCAAATATGTGCTTGCCACATCAACATAGGGATCCTAAAAGAGTAGAGTAGTAGTCGGAAAACTTGGCATATCATAGAACAATGCTACCAAACACACCGATAGTCCCAAAATAAGTAAAAGTCACAAAGTTTGCTTACCACATCAGCAAACTATTGGTCAACTTAAGAGAGAAAAACACCTTGATAACAAAAAAAAAGTGGAGTAAGAAAGCACTCCAGAGAGAAACAAGCCTAGGGTTTGGTAGACTTTGATACCAAGTTAAATTTTGTTATAAGGCAATAAGGTTGAATATAGAGAGATAATAGAGACAGAAAAAAGAAAAGTAAGAACACAAAGGTTTAACGTGGTTTGGCCAATATTGGCCTACATCCATACACCCAAAGCTTTAAAGGGCTACATCTTTCATTCACTCAACTTATACTCTTGTTTACATAATACACCATACAATCAAATCCCTTCAATTAAGTGGTTGCAATAAATCAAAGATACAAAAAATCATAATAAAAATAAATCATGGGATCTCCATATATTCTGATGTCTTCTATATCTTCTAATATCTTTCATAATATAATATTATCTCCAACAACTTATAGGGATGGCAATTTTACCCGCAAAGTCAAGGACCCACCCCCACCTTATTAGGATGAGGATGGGACATTTGATACTGCAGTAGAGACAGGGGTGGGGCTAAGAAGATTAAACCATATTAGGTTTGGAATGGCCAGGATTTGACCACCCTGGCTTAACCCCACCCTGAGCAGGATGCTTCAAAAACTTTTAATCCTTTATTTATCATATACAAACAACAATCTTTTTCCATGTCTTCCCATTTGGTAGTATATAAACACTTCTATTATGTGTTACAAAATCAATGTGGGACGGGAAGCATGAAGGAATAGATCCTTGGTGAAGAATACAATGTATAATCAATTAATCCCACATCAGTTGGATACTAAGCCTCGTGGCATCCCACATGTTATTAGGGTAAGGTTCATGCACTATTGTGTGAAGAAAATCTTTGAATCCCATGAGATAATGAGCTATGATTGCCGCCAAGCTAAATAGTAAGGTTACGACACGGATACGTCAACATGTCAATTTTCAAAAAAATGCAGCACACAATATGCTTGACACACATTAAAATTTATATTTGTATAATTTATTATATGTCAAATATTTGAAAAAAAGGCAACATAATAGTTACAAATATATGAAAAAATGAAACATAACACTAACTAAAATTAAAGAGTCATATATTTCATAATTTAAACATCAAGATATCAATTACGAAAAAATCGCAATCTAAAGAATGCAAAATAATTGTAGAACATTGAAATATAAAATAATGTATCATCTTATAAATGTTTCAAAACATATTTAAAGTACATAAGTTGCATTTTGAAGAATATAGAACAACGTTTCTATGAAGAGATTCATCAAATAGGTCATGTTCGGATAGTTCAAAAAGTGTCGCCAAAGTATCCGAGAAGTGTATGTAAAGAAATATGAATTTAGAGTTCAATTAAGACTTGTTGAAGAAGCGTCAAACACGCTTTTTAAAAGTGTCCGTAGGGTGTCGTATCCGGCATGGGTGTTTGACACGACACACCTCCGCCATAGAAGTGTCCATGCTTCTTAGCCACCAAGTAAAAAAGAACGTCTCATTACTGTTTAACAAAGCAAAGTTGTTGATGTCCTTGTGTATCATGTGACATATGGTGTGCTATGTGGCACATGGATTTAATAATAAAGTTATTTATGCATGTCATATGTGTACATTTTGATGTTTAATGATAAAATTTGGAACACTTAAAACCCGTTGGAAACCAACCCTGGCCCTCTATATATTTTAGGTTGACTTTGTTAGGTTCATGTAGACCGCGCATCATTACTCCTTGAACTTGTTTTTATCAAGAACAAAAAGAGAAATATTATTATAAAAAAAAAAATGTACAAAAATAGAAGGACAAGAAGTCTACCAAAAAGAGAGAATTTTTTAAAATATGAATCACATAACAAATCTTTCCGCAAATCCTCTTTGTATCCTCAAATTTGTTTTAAAAATCCTTGCATTCCTTTCGAATCAAATCTCCCAAAATATAGCTAAAGTGATGCAATCCTAAGGAACTTGCAGCTTTCTTTTTAGAGCCAAATAATCCCTTATAATCAATCAAAAGCATCTGTATGCAAGAGGGAGGAGCCACCCACTCCAGATCCACCATATGAAATAAGTTACACCACAATGATGAAGCCACAGGGTAATGCAAAAAAAGATGGTCAATGCTCTCTTCATTCCTTCTACACTAAATACATCATTGTGCAAGCAAAAAGTAATTTGATCTCCTTTTTTGAAACTAATCATTAGTATTAATTTATTATGAGCTAAGGATCATATTAACACTTTAATCTTAAGCGGAACATAAGCATTCCAAATCACTTTTTGAGGAGGAAAAAGAGGAACATTAGGATTATCATTTAGCTCATGGAATAAAGACTTGCAATAAACAAACCCGAGGAATGAATGGATCACATTCTTTTATCTATCATATCCCTTCTCAAAGAAACAACATGAAGAATAGTTAACTAGGCTGCCAACAAACTAGTTATGAATAAAGAAAGAAATACATTAAATGAATCTCTCTCTCTCTCCACAAACAAAAGTCAGAAAACGCGAATTATATACTCAAGCAATTTCTAGCATGGATCACAACAGAAATTTTGCATCAAAAAATACAATATATAGACATTGGTGCATTGACATGAATAATATTCTAACCAGCTAACTGCAACAAACTTGGTATAACCACAATATAAAAGTTGATTGTTGATACATTCATGAATTTAACACCCCTTAAAATTAATGCTTAAAAAAATCAGTAAAGAAAATACGAAACATGCAATTAAATTAGGGGTACACTAAGAATGTTGTGTATAGAAGGATCCTGGTTAAGTTGAAAGGAAAGTTTTATAGGATATTTGTAAGACCTGTTGCGTTGTATGGTACAAAAGGTTAAGAAATCAAGAAATATGTTCAAAAGATTTGTGTAGAAGAAATGAGAATGTCTATCTGCCATCAGAAGTAGAGCGGCCATCGATTGATGAATTGAGAAAGATAGGACCGGGGATTCCATTAAATAGAGAAAGCTATCGATGGTCACATTGGGATGTGGCAAGAACAAATGTTGTTACAAGAAAATAAAATAAAGAATGTGTAATGGGGGAATTAAAAGTGTCACTAACTGAAGAAAAAATAAGGCGAAGTTATTTGTGATGGTATGGCCATGTGTAACATAAACCAATTGATGCATCCGTACAAAAAAGTGTAAATAGAGGAAGGCCAAGGAGTACATGGTTTGATCTAAAAGTGATATTCAATATGAAGAAAAATCACTTCCAAGCATCAATGGTTTTATATGTAATATCTATCTAAGTGAATTCCTAACATTCTCTTTTGTATGCCCTTTTTTGTGTGTTGAATTGCGTAGGACCCTGTTCAAATTTAAGATGATGTAGTTGCCCTATTTTGCAGACAAGATCCAGAGTTCATGGGAGGGTCACAAGGTAGAAAGGCATTTTGGTTTCATTTTAATCAGAAAGTGAAAACCTTTACAAGAGGAAATCAAGTGGTGGAATTATGAAGAACTTAGAAAGTATCTGTTTAGAAAAATGAAAATTTTGTGGACACCAAGAAGCTGGACATAAAAGAAGGATTAGAGGATTTGTATCCTAAGAGGCAGCAAGCAAAGAGAGGGAAACAGATATTTGTAAACTTGCCAAAAATGGAAGATATTAGTTAGTACTAGAAATTAAAGGAGTTGTGGCAGAGGGAAATAGTACCACTAAGTTCTTCCATCGAGTGGCTGTGGCTCAAATGAGACCCAACCAAACTGGTCAGGTTTGCATTGAGCAGGTAGAGAGGTTTTAGAAAAGATTAAAAATGACATCTTGGAGTTCTATAAGGCTTATACTAAGAAATGGAGAAGCCATGGCCAAGATTAGACATATTGGAATTTAGTACCACAAATGATGATGATAAAGACCAGTTAGAAAGGCCATTTTTAGAGGAAATTAGAAAGGCTTTAGGATCTCCTAATAGGATGACTAGTTATTGTGTATTCTTCTCTGGGATGAGTGAACAAAAAAAAAATTATCAAAAAGATTTGGTTTCCATGAAGGAGACAATTTCGTAAGTATTTGGAATACTTTTGATCACCACCAAGATCACAGCAGAGGATTGTCAGTCCCTTGATGATAGAGTAATTAAAAGGGTTCATTAATGGGAAAATAGAGATTTATCATAAGCTAGAAGGACTCAATTGGTAAACTCTTCTTTTCTCCATCCAAGTACATTGGAATTCACTGTTTATATTACCCATCAAGGTAATTAGGAAGGTTAACCTTGAGGCCCTTTTATGGAATAGTGTGAAAAGCACAGGTGCAAAAATAGCTTGGGATGATGTTTGCCTACCCCAAAATGAAGGGCTTGAAAACAGTTAGAAGAAATAATTGAGAGAAGAAGATGAAAAACAATATACAATGTTGAGAGAGAGACCCCAAAAGAATAATTAGGGTTAACTCTCATAAACACTCTTAACATGTATTGTCGGTACTATGATGTGGATGTTCATGTGTGTCCATATGTAATATTTTCCTTTTGGTCCCAATATCAAACTAAGCTAGAAGATTACTTACTTCAAGATCTGAATAAGACATAGCATCTGCACTTTGACCCACTTGACAATTAATTAAGTGAAAGGAGCCACCTGCAGCTTCGATAATATCCAAAGCCTCATTTATCAGAAATTGATCAAACAGATGACCACTCAAAGATACCTGTCAGTTTAAAAAATCAGCAAGGTTGAACAGGAAGAACTAGAATGATGGCTAATAATGATTGTAATTTGCATTACAATTGAAATCCTCACTAACGTAATTTACACATTAATAGCAGGTTATGTAGGTATGATAAGGAGAATCATACCAATAGATTGTATTTCTTCTTATTAGAGTGACAGCTTGCACGAGTTTTTGATAAATCTCTGCATATTAAGAGAGTAAAATCCACATCCATTAGTTAACACAGAACAGACGCATATTGGGTAAACTGATTCAATAACCCTCTACAGAAAATAAAAATTTAGGGCTTCAGTTGCCAAAATCGAAGCCCCAAAAACAGGTCACACAAACCTAATAATACAACTACATTAGCCCACAACAATTATACCAATTACCAACTATTCAAACAGAACCAAATAATGACAAAAGAGAAAATATAAGACTAAATATAGAACTCAACTCAAATCAACTAGTGCTTTACATGCGCTTGGGCTCGAGCACCTAAGTTGCCAGGGCTAATGCTCGACAGGTGCTTGACATGGGCTTGAGTGTCGTAGGTGCAACTGAGGTCTATTATATGACCATTTTGGTCTTGAACAAAGATCTTCTCATCTTTTCTTATCACTTATGACAATTATAGCAGCTTAAGATGCATTTTCTCTCTCTAGAATAGTTCTATGCTTGATCATCAAGACTCAGTTGATGAGTCTCATATGTTCTTCAATTTTAGAGTTCATAATTATGAGTTTGATTCAATGGTAAAACCTTAGCCTAATAACCTTGAGGTTACGGGTTTAAGTCTCGGGACAACCACTTTGTGTACTATTTATACTAAAGGTTAGGTGTGTATCCAATTTTTCCCCTCCCAACCACACATTAATGTGTACTATTTAGGCGTTGTTTTTTTTATGATGACTTTGATTCAATTAATTCATCTCAATTGAGTTTTCACAAAAACCTCCACACTACTCTTCATATCCTTACGACACCACGTCTGCGTTGAGCAACAGAATCATTGGGGATGGAGATTGGAGCTTCATGGTGATTGTTGAATCAACAGAGCTTGACTTGTCAAGGCCTCTTTGGAGTGGAAATCAAGCTTTTTGAAACTCGTGGCGGGCTCAATTGTAGATAAACTAGGGCAAGATGTTGTAAATCCTTTAATTATGCCTTGTAACAATTTGAGTCAATAGTAAATTATTATCGGAGGTTGGATTGGAATTGTGATTTTCATCCCATAGGACAGTTTTCGCATAGGGTTTCCACAGTAACTCTTGAGTTTTGAGATTTGATTGCTCTCTATTGGATTGGATTGATAGAGTTGTTGGTTGAATTGTGCTGGAAATTGTGTTCATGCATGTAATATGATAGTGGTGTTGGTGGTAGATAGTGGTGTGTATAGAATATGATAGTGGTGTTGGTTGTAGATAGTGGCATGTATAGAATATGATAGTGGTGTTGGTGGTAGATAGTGGCATGTATATAATATGATAGTGGTAGATAGTGGTAATATATAATATGTAAGTGGCATATAATGGGTTATGATGATGTTTGTAATATCTCCTATATAAGGAGTGTCATTTGGTCTTGTAAGATAAGAAGTTTTGAATATAACAGAAATATATTCCTTCTTCCTCATATTTTCGGAGTTCTTCTTCTTCATATTTTCTAAGTTGGTATCAAAGCAATTCATGGTGATTGTTGAATCAACAGAGCTTGACTTGTCAAGGCCTCTTTGGAGTGGAAATCAAGCTTTTTGAAACTCGTGGCGGGCTCAATTGTAGATAAACTAGGGCAAGATGTTGTAAATCCTTTAATTATGCCTTGTAACAATTTGAGTCAATAGTAAATTATTATCGGAGGTTGGATTGGAATTGTGATTTTCATCCCATAGGACAGTTTTCGCATAGGGTTTCCACAGTAACTCTTGAGTTTTGAGATTTGATTGCTCTCTATTGGATTGGATTGATAGAGTTGTTGGTTGAATTGCTCAATTGATGAATTGTTAGATTGATTGATCATGCTGGAACTATGTTATTGATTGATCATGATGGAACTGTGTTAAGTGTAACGCAGCATAGTTAATAAAAAATGTATTTACTATAGGCTACAACCAAAAAAGTTCATTTCCTTCTGAGGTAGGTAAATATATTTATCTTTAATGAAAAACTAAATCATGTTAATATATTCAAAATAAATAAGTAAATATATAAATAAAAGGAAAAGCAAACAGAGAAACCACACTTATCTTCTGCATCAATCCTCAAGATTAAGCACAACTAACTTCAACAGCATTTAACAAAAATAGTGTTAAAATCCACCTACTCTCCACCTACTTCACCCACTTAAACCTACTCCACTAAACCTAACCCACTACACCACTACCACCTCACCTACTCCACTAAACCTAACCCACTACACCACTACCACCTCCACTTCACCTACTCCTTACCTACTACACACTCACCCTCTTCTATATATAGGAATCATGAATCATTGTAATAGATATAACATTACATCAATCAATAATAATACATACAATTTATTCTCTCTCTTTTTTTCTATACATTATTTCTTACAAATAGGTTATCTCTTTCCTTCTCCCAAAGATAAAATACTAAAAGCAAGAACTGAAAGTTCTGAAGACACCCAGAGTTTTATGTGCCTGATACTTAACAACCAGCATAACCAAATCCAATTTCATTCCACAGAACTTATGGGAGTGACTCTATCCCTTAACCCCCTATCTCCATTCCCTATCCCCCTACCACTTCTCTGCAACTTCAAACTTTTACATGGGCAACTTTGATTGTTAAATGTGAATTTTATTTCTATCTATTCTCTTACACTAAAAATTGTTGAAGATAAGATTATCTTGTTAAAGATATTAGAATATACAAAGATCCCATGATTTGTGCTTATCATGATTTTTTATATCTTTGATTTATTGCAACCACTTAACTGAAGGGATTTGATTGTGTCTCCCATTCTATATATGGTGTATCATGTAAACAAGAATATCAAGTTGAGAGAATGAAAGATGTAGCCCATAGGGCTTTGTGTATGTGGATGTATGCCAATATTGGTCAAACCACGTTAAACCTTAGTGTTCTTGTAGAAATTTAATGTATAAAGAGAAATGATTGTTTTATTGATTGATTTATTGAATGTTACAATGATTCCTATATATAGAAGAGTAGGTAGTAGTAGGTGGTAGATGGAGTAGGTAAAGTGGAGGTGGTAGTGGTGTAGTGGGTTAGGTTTAGTGGAGTAGGTTTAAGTGGGTGAAGTAGGTGGAGAGGGGAAAAAAAAAATGAACTCTTTCTTTACAATATTCTAGGCTTATATATTCAATTTTATCTAAGTACTTGCATTTACAAAATGAATATTTTGAGGCACCAAGTGAGATTTTTGAAAAAGTTTGAAGATTTTGATTTTTTAACCTTGTAAAAATAGGTAAATATATTGTTGTTGAGTTATCGCTACTTGGAAATTGAAGGTTTGCCTTTGTTTGCTTTTCTTTATTAAGAACGATTGATAAGAAATAGTATCTAAAAGGGAAAATGTGAAGTGGTAAACATGGGAATCAGTGTTAACTTCTTACCCAGATTACATGATCATCATTTAAAACAATATTTTCATTGATTTGACTCTAAATGTTTCATATTTGTTAGATATATTTAATATCTAAATATCTATGTAATTTAAAAGAATGCGGTCAAATCTTTATGATTCACGATTCGATTTGATTCAATTCATGATTCAGTACAATACCATTTTGATTCCTGATTTGAATCCCGATTTGACAACTATAGTATGAACATATAAATCCTCTGTGGGCTCATTTTGTTTGTTATATGTTTGGGTTAATTATACTTAACACTCCACTTTTTTCAGTATGTCACTTTAGCCTCTTTACTTTCAATTGTGATAGTTAATTCCTATTTTTTAAGTCTAGCTGCAATGTTATCATTCTGTTCATTTGGCATTATAATGATGATGGAAATTAGCATGTGTGTCTCACGTGACATTCTTTTTTATTTATTTATTTATTTATTGGCACAATTAAAAGTGGGTGGACCAGAGTGAAATTTTGGCGAAAGTGCAACAGACCAAAGTAGGATTTTTCTAAAAGTATGGGGATGCTAATGCCCCAAGAAAATGTCAACTGTAGTTCACATACTAATTTTTGTCAACCTTACATGCTAGTAACTTTGTAACTTGAATAAGTCTAAAGAGTTGACTGTCACAATTAAAAATAGAGATTTCAATGAAAGAGTTTGAAAATGGAAAGATGTTAAATGTAGTTGATCTTATATA